GCTTAGGAAGCTTTCTGTTCCTGAGCCGTCATTGATAAGTTGGTGCCTAACACATGGCTGGTGGCTTACCTGCTTCTTCAGACCTGTCAGCTCGTTCCTGGGGAGGCAAAACCTGGAGTTCGAATGTGATGGATAGCTTCAATATTCACACGTTTGAAGGGCGGCTATGCTCTCGTGTCATCCAGAAAAAAAAAAAAGAAGCAGACTATTGACTGTTTGTAAGGGGTAAAAAAGAGTGAGTCTACTATTCGATAGATAGGATCGAGATGGACGGGTTCGTCTGACATCTTCTGTTTGTTACTCGGTTGTTCTATCTCAATTTACCGGCTTCTCCGCCTCTGTCTATAGGGGGTCCCTGATATATCCCAAGAGAATGGAATCAAGGAAGCAGGGGTGAGGCGGGCGAGCGTACATATAAGGCATCCATGCATATACCGACATCCACAGCTCTGTGCAAAGCGGAGGAAGGAGATAATTAAACTGGATCTCAGATCTCTCTTTATTTATTGGAAAGCTGCCTTACCTACTCTAAAATATCACGATAGTAACAGGTAGAATTCAAAAGGCTGAAAAAGGGGGTGGAAAGTCATAGACAGAGAAGGGGTTGATAGCCGGGTCGAAGGATTGTAAAACGTACATATCAAGCACTTTCGAAGGGAAGAAGATGAAAAAAAAAGGCGTTGAAAAAAAAGGGTTTCTTGAATCCTTTTATGTGTTCTCATGAGAAGCGAAGAGAAGTAGACAAGGTAAGCAAGGCAAGGATGGTTGCAAGATTGTACAAAGGAAGTAGAAGGAGAGAAAAGAAGAGAGACATGGCATTACAAGAGGAAGAGAAGAAGAGGAAATAACAGTCAAGAACCGCCCCCTGAATTGCGCCGTAAGAGGTGAAAGAAAAGAGACGAAGACGAGAAGAACAAGGCAGGCCAAAGGGTATCAGATCCATCAGTGTACATACCATATTTCACCAAGATGGAGCTAGAGGAAGGGTAACTAGGCGTAGACACAACTGCCTTCCTTTCCCTATCATGACGACAAACGAGCAAACAAACTAAACCAAGCAATTCAAATCAATTTTTTTTTTTTTGGGTAAATAGGCGAGGATGATGGTTGATCTGAATAGGAGGGTGTGGTTTTTGGTTAGAGAAGGATGAGGTAGTTCGACGGTGCAATTCCCGTCTCACCCGTCGACTTCTTCGCCTGCCACCATCGCCCGCTGACGTCCGAAACCTCGAGAATCTCATGTTTTGTGAAACTGATCTCGTTGGCGTCATCTGGGTTGGCTTCATACGAATATATCGCCTTGGCACGGTAGGGATACTCCGTCGGCTGTCCTACCTCGCCTGTCTCACCGCCGACAGTGCTAGCGTTGGTCTGCGAGCCGAGGACGGGCTGCAAACCCGTTGTGCTGGCAGCGGCAGGGTTGAATCCAGTCATGGGCGAGGAGGTTTCGAACCCCCTGAGAGGCGCGGACGAGTACATGTGTGGGTGGGCGGAGGAGACAGTTGTTTCGGGACGGGGTGTGTAGCTGTGAGAGATGGGCTTGCTGTTGCGGTAGCTGTGTGGCTGTTCCTTGTGAGGCGCAAACGAGTCAATGTACGCCCTAGGCCCTGACTGGGAGGTTGAGCCGAAGTAGAAGATCCAGACAATCTGTCAGATAATACTCGTTAGTGGCGGGGGTTGTCCATAGATATAACTGTACATATATATTTTAACGGCAACGGTAGTACATACGTCTGTCATGGCGAGGAGGATGAGACCGGCGCCGGCAGACTGTCTGGCGCCCTGCTTGCTGGTGACCAGGCTGTCGAGGGTAAATGTAGTGCAGACAAGGCCGGCAGCAGCGTATCCAACAACCTGTTCCCCCGTCAGTCAGTATTTCATCGTTACAACGTCGGCACGTCGGATAAGCAAAGTATGACCCACCGCCGTGCCGTAGACGTGGCTGGTATTCGAGCCCATCACGACCGCAACACCGACCAGGACGCAGAGCTGGTATGCAATCGACCACCAGAAGAAGTTTGGGATCACCTCCTTCGTATGGGCGATGCTGCAAGAGACAACACCGATGATCCACGCCAGCTACAAGGGTCAGCCATCAATTCAATGGTAGGAGAGACAGGTCCAAGCAAAGGGTGACAGGGTGGCCCGTACCATGCCTATCGATACGGTTGCCAGCGCAAAGGGGTCGCCGACCAGGTTGCTCATCTGGAAGCGCGCCATCGTAGCAGCAGTTGGCGTTGACCTAGATACAGATACTTCGAGACGGTGACAGGGACGGCACGCGAGACCATCCACGGCTTCGCATGCAGCGTATTCTCTCTATTCAACGTCGGCGTTCGACCGTATCTGCACTGTTTGCTGACACCCGGCGAGGCTTGCTTTTGCTTGCTTGCTTGCTTGCTTGCTTGCTTGCTTGCTTGCGGCGGCAGTCTGGAGAATGTTTGGACGTCGTTGACCGCAGCACTTCAACTTCTCGACTGCGTCTTCACTGCGGAACGGGTGAAGGAGGTATCCTGTATCGGCGTATCTACCGTCCTGGTGAGTTAGAGCGATCTTCCCGGCGCTGCAAGGAGGGTGAAAGTAGTCGTCAGCGCCTGGCTGGGGGGATTTTGGCGGAGGAAGAGGTTGGAGAAAAAGGGGGTCAAGACGGGCGACGGCGAGGAGGGCGGGAGGTTGCCAGAACGAACGAAAGAAAAAAAGGATGAGAAAGCGAGAGTGAAGACGCCGCAGGAGAAGAAGAAGACGAAGAGGAAGAGGATGAAGCTGAAGTCGAGACGAAGAGATGAAGATGAAGATAAAAAAAAGCGACTTCAGGAGGAGGAAAAAGCAACGAAAAGGCGTTTTTTAGTCTTACTTAAGCCGCTTTTTATGGCTTGACTTTTATATTAATAGCAATTAAGTAGAAGGACAAGAGACAGGACGCTGACGAGAAAGTAATAATGCAGATGTAGAAGACGGAGAGAAGACTAGCAGAAGGTCGCTGTCTGTCCTACGCCACTGGCAGGGCCGTCTCCTGCTTCTGTGGCCGTCAGTCTGGCTGGCCCGCCGGTCTTTGTTTCGCGCGCGCCAAGTTGGCCTGCAAGAGGAGGGAGGCTCGCTGGCTCGCTGGCCTTGTGGAGTTGGGGCAGTTTCAGGCCAGTGTGCTTGACGATCGATGCCCCCGGGCGGGTTTGAAGGAGAGGCGTTGCTGTCGATGTAAGTGCTGGTGTTGTTGCGAAGTCCCTTTAGATGCTCTTCCTGCCAATGGATCGAAAGGTGACTCTGGCTTCTGAGGACTGTACGGTTAACCCCCTGAAGACGGGGATGCTGGTGTCTATATGTATCAGGCACGGAGGACAGTTAAGAAACTCCGAACGGCTTGATGGGGATCCATGTTTGAAGTCTGGACGAGTGGCCATCGCGGGCTCCACGAGTTCTGTCGTGCGTCCTCCTGTTTCACCTGGTTGAAGCACGCCAGCCAACTGGTTTCCAAGCGTTGATGGGGAGCCTCAGTAGTTAGCATCAACGGCGAAGAGTCCACCGCCTCTCAACGCTATGCCTCTACCCATTCTTCAAACATAAAACCCTTCTCTGGTCCTTAATCCGCTGGCCTGGCCTGGCCTGGCCCGGAAGTATGCCGCTTATTCACCGTCTATCCGTGGACCGTAACAGTTAACCCAGTAGAGTCCCGGGGAGGAAGGTTGAACGCGGAGGCTACTACTCCCTTTCTCTCGCCTTCTCCTCCCTCCTCACCCCTATCTCAACCATCTTCATCCTCTCCTCCCATTCCCCCCATACCTCTCCGCCCCCTACAACGCCAACTTCAACCCACCGCTTCATCAACAGTGTACTTTGCACCCTCAGCTCGGCAATTTCCTCCGCCTGACGTCTCTGCGTCTCCTGCGCTCGGTCTATTCGGGGCTGCAGCTCGACAAGGGCCGTAGAAGCGCTGGCGGGAGGGATAGGAAGGTCCTGTAGAGAGCTGAGTCGGGATGCTGTTTCGGGGAACGCAGTGGCGTATGAGAGCACGATGGAAGCTAGAGTTGCTGGTGTCATTGTGGCAGGTGGTGTGTGTGTTGACGCAGACTGGAAAAGGTCGGGATATCGTGAGTCTAGCTACCGTTAGAGACGCATAAATGAAGTATTCTGTAGGCAAATGGCATGCGTACATAGCTTGAGCACATCTTGGACGGCCGGGACTCGTGCGGAGAGCCGTCTGAGGCCATGCTCGAGCTCGGCCAGCCGGGCAGAGACTGTTTCTCGCACTGAAGCTGGCGGTTCGGAGGCCTGCTCTGGCTCGCCGGCCCAGTTCGTCTGGCCGGTCAGCAGGAACTCAATGCGTCGAAGGCGAGTCTCGAGCAGCTCGATCGTGTCTGCCGCAGTGTTCGTAGTGTATTCTGTCTCCATCCTAGCTATTCTCCGAAGCTCTCGTTTGCCGTCGTCGTCGTCGTCGTCGTCGTTGTTGTTGTAATTTGCAGGTTGTCGATGGTTGTTTTGACGTCAGTTTTTGCTTGCCAGGAACCGAACCTTAACTCGATTAGGAAGAACTCAATACTGATAAGTGCCAGGCACGAAATGAAGGGATGATGGATCTAAAAATACAAGCAAAGAGGATATGAAGGATATTATTATGACTACGCTGCTGAGGCTGCGCTTGTCTCTACGTCAACCTGCATACTATCCTCGTCGTGCTCGTTCTCCTCCGTGATCTGGTCCATCAAGGTCCCCTGGCCACCAGCACCAGCTCGCTGTCGAGGCAGCCCCGGCGGAGGCATGATGCTTGCACTGTGCTGCCCTGCTCGTTCTTGCATCTCTTGTCCCTTGACGTCTGCTTTCTCCCCGGTTTCCTCCTCGCCATCGTTAGTCATATCCTTCATCAGAAGATCCTCCTGTTTAGCCGTGTTCGTCTTTCCTTCATATTCGGCAGTAAACTCTGCAAGCTCTTGCTCGAACAGCTCATTGTCCTTGTCGATGAAGTTCTACGTCCAGAGTTAGAACTGGTTTCAACACATTAGCGAATATATACACACCTTTAATGGTTCGGGAAGTTCCCCAGCCTCGAAGCTCATGGCCTCTTCGTTGGCATAAACCAGGACAACACTCGAGGATTCCTCCTTTGCCGCATGAAGCACTTCAATCTCTCGCACGGGGCGCGCAGTGTACCCAACGATATCCACGTTATCGGCTACCGTAGCCCTGGATACTGGCTTGCTACTGGTCGGTCCTGACGCGGACGGTTCAATCTGATTAGACGGTTTCAGGCTCGCAGATCCGGTGCTGCCGACTTTCGCATCATCGACTGAGAAGCTGAACCTCCACCACTGCCACTGCTCGGTTGCTGGTACGTCGGGGACATCGTCCGTCATTAGATCCAATTCCGGTTTCCGCGGTCTCAGCACATAAAATATGTGCGGCTCCGTGCATACGCCGCGAAGGGTATACTTATGTCTTGGTGACTCCTCTGCAGATGAAGCCTGACCAGTAAAGCAGTTGGATAGCTGCCGGAGACTCTCAATGGCTTGCGTTTTTCTTTCTTCCAGCTCTGGGTATTCTCAGATTAGTATGCCATACACTATCCAATGACCAAAATAACTCACCTTGTATTTTATGGGTAATCTGCTCCGTTAATGTTTTCAACTTCTCAATTAAATCGACTACATCCTCTTGCGTGGTAGACGGAGCTCCATCGACCTGGTATGGCCCAGTCAGAGCCACCCGAGATCCAGCAAGTACTTTCTGGACCATCGTATCAACAGAGATGCTTCCCCTCTTAGATAGATATCGATCAACCATCGCCCCCAACTTCTCCAGCTCAACGTCAACAACAACACGACGTCTCCTAAGCTCCACTGCAAACTCCTTGCAATGCTTCATGTACCGGTCAGGATACCAAACAGAAGGGACTTTCAAATCAATCCTGTTACCGTCGTGATTGGTTATCCGCATAGTAAAAACAGGTGCAACTTCTTCTAGCCAGATATCGTCCAACTCCTTACCAGGCATATCACACCATATATGTCCATCTAGGAGGTCATATAGATTCCTTCCAGAGGTCCTGTCAATTGAAAGGTCTAGCAATGAGAATGGTTCATTGGCACACTCGTCCTCCGAAAGTGCCTGTTTGACACCTCTGGAGTAAAATGTTTTTTGGGGCAATTCCCCTTCCGGGGGGGGCGAGATTTCCTCCCAAAGCTTTAAGAACGTAGCTATTCTGTCCTCACCCCTCCAACATTTTAGAGAAGGAAGACCAGATAGGACATCTGCGCTTCCAAAGGCTCGCTGAGAACGGTCCAAAAAGGCCATTAGCCGTTGGGTCTCATGCACAGCGTCCTCCCATGGTGCTTCTGCTTGCTCAAGAGTAGTCAAAGCCGGCTGTCCATTCCACCATTGGCTGTCATTGCCGTAATCTGGAGCCACCCTATCTCTCCAAAGGAGCTCTTCCCTGGCTATTGGTATAGAGTGCAGAATAGTCAAAAAGGCAGGGAAATGGTCTGCCTCCGGTCCCGGTCGAAGAAATCGAGGCGTGTCGTCTATCCGCCGTCTAAGCTCAGGGTCCGGGTCAATAGATATCTCCCTAGAAATAGCACTAGGTAGCGTCAAGGCCCACAGCTCAGTATCATAGTATTCCCTATTTGCAGGACCAAACTGCGCACCCTCTGCCGCGGTGACGCCCGATTCCTGTTCTCCAGACGCAATATTGTGCCCAAGTGACGCCGTGATCGCATGCTGCATCTCGTGCTCCTCGCGTTCCGCTAACGTAAGGCCATCAGTGTTCAAATCGTCCGCTAATTTCCCAAGACCGTCTCCAGGTAAGCGCAAGCCACGGAACTACTAAACCAGGGGACAGTTGCAAGAAGCTCACAATAATTCGGGTTCCCTAATGTGTTCGGCGTCTGGGTCGTAGACTCTACATTCTTCTTCTCACGGATACCGACTCGTGACGGCGGACGGGACGGGGCTGACAAGCCGCCAACATCTATACGGTCGATATCAAACGATCCTCGAACAAGTCAGAACACATGGACACTAGCCAGGGGGGTTGAATAAGTGTCCGTTGAAGCATTGATCACTAATCGAGGAAGCGGCGCATGCTTACTCTGAGGAGTTGGGCTGTGGAAATCGCGGGGGAGGGGGTTTGGTAGAATTTCCTCGACCTATCCATCCACCGTCAGTTCTCTGTCTGTCTGCTGAGAGATGTGCAGTCTTGCTAACCGGCGGTAGAGGGTCGTCTGGATTTTCAAAGTAAGCATTGATAGCTCTATGGGAGTCGCCATTATTGTGCTATAATTCGTACAGTGAAACTGTTAGCAGGCTGCATATCCCAAGCTATGAGACGGCCAGGTGGAGGAGGGGATCTGAAGGTACTTGGAGAAACGCAATTGCCCGTTCCCTGGAGGCGCTGGTGAACGAGACGAAGGCCTCAATCGCCTCGTCTGTTATTTCCGGCACCATCTCTGCCTTGCACGCTGTCTTGCTTGCTCTTTGGATGTGGTGAAGCCGCGAAGCCAAAGCTGAAGATGCAGCAAGCAAGTTGACGTTAACTTATAGATCGAGATCGCGACCAAGAAAAGTCACGGGGGCGGCCGCATTCGTCATCTTCCCGCCTCCGCCTCTATCGAGCTGCAAACCTTCAACTCACACAAGTCATGATGTCGAGAGGTGAGATAACTTACTATTATAGCGATGGTAGTGACAGTATCATGGGCTGTCTACTTAAGACCATTGCTATACTCGCTAAGATGGCTTCAGTGGCTTCTTCTCTTCACTCTCTATCACTTGCCAATGCTGCTCGTATGGATCTTCCTGTCTAAGAACTCTGTAGAGGTCTACAGATTACTATGCTGCCACCCCAGCAGCCAAGGCCAACTGAAGCAGATGCTAGAATGCGATCAAACTCCATGGAAGATACCCATTTTCTTTGTTTATTAGCTCCGGATGGATGCAGGGCGTGTGTTTGACGGAACTTCCCTGGAGTTTCCCCTCTAAGGCAGCCGGATTTTCACCTCTTCATACTAAAAATCATCACACTTACAACGTTGCCTCCATTACTGGTGTGTCTACCTGAGTCACTTCAGTGCTGATAGGTTCGAAACAAGATGGCTGAACCACCTGCCGAAGACGGTCTGGAGACTCCAAACATTCTCAAAAGACTCAAGGCAGAGAGAAAACAGCATAGTTACAGAGATCAGCTCTCAAAATGGGAAATACCTATCAATGAATCCGAAGCGAATATAGCAAACCATTTGATATCCAAAATCTTTGAGGACATGGCAAAGAACGTGTCCGTGCAATATCTAGGGAAGGCTCAAGGTTCTTCTCTTGAGGAAAACTACATGAATTCACAGAGGTGTGTTCAGGTCCAAGCGTTGGTCGACATGTTGCTACCAATTGCCAGTGGCTCCATTGAAAATGACCCATCCATATCTACACCCTTGAAGGACAGATACGAGTCACGCCCAATACCCTGATGCTATTGTTCCGACCCCTGGGACCATGGAATCCTGTTGATGCGAAATAGATGGTACAATCTCTACGAGAAGATTCCGGACTTGGAGTATATGTTGATGTTGGTGCAAGCGGATCGTTTCAGAGAAATGCTATGGTATCTCGAGCCAAAGCATTGGGATTACATGGTGGCCTCACTTCGCCAATATCGTACCAGTATCAAGGTCTTTGCTGAAGTTATCCATTTAGATTTTAGATGGCCATTTACTACAAGAGCTAGGCAGCTTCCCATGGAACTGGCCTATGGCTACTTTAAAGGAAAACGACTGAGTGACTACCATCCCCATACAATTGTAGTCAATGACAACAGAGGAGAAATCTATGGCGTCGCTGCAGAGACTAAGGATACTTCGTTTCACAAAATAATCCAATCTTTGGCCTCCGTAGATAGTGCTCTATCCAACGAAGCGAATAAAAACCCTCCACCACTTTACAGGATCAACAACAATATAACGGATGAATGGGCATGCAAATCTTGCCTGAAATGGAAACACTTGTGCCTATGAGAATACTCAGAAGGGAAAGACAAACTTTTCTTCCGTTCATCATTTTTGCAACTGATGGACTGCAATGACAGACGTGAGACTGGCGTACGCTCCCTCATCGGTGTCGGCGAGGGCATGAACCTGGGAGCTTTGACGGGGACATTTCGGGTTTCGAAATTCTTCTTTGGTTTCCCCTTGACCCTGATATCTGGGGAAAGGAAGGGTATTATCACAAAAGCAAATAGGGATGATTCTGGCGATTGGACTCGTTTTTTGAACCACTCTTGTGACCCTAATACAAGTGTTAATTTCGGAATATACCAGGGGATACCGACAGCAACAATCGTCACAACAAAGTGCATCCAACCAATGCAGGAGCTAACAATAGACTATGGGAAAAAGTATATGAACACAGTATTATGGACCTGTCAGTGTAAGAGCTCAACATGCAAATATCCAAACTGTGAGCCGGAGGAGGAAGACGAGTCTCTTTTTTCAGTGACGAAAGGAAGTCCTATCGAGTACCGCCGTGAGAAGGAAACGGCTTCATGTAATTAGTTTCCACATGCTTGCTATCTGGTTAATCTTAACAATGGTCGAGACTTCACGATTAGCCAGTTAACTAGTTAGCTTAGAATGTCAAGAAATAAACCACAGTATCCATCCTATTATCATCACCTCCTATCCTTTGTACCTGGCAAGCAACAGAGTATACAGAGTAGTCAACTGCCCCTTAAAGCATCCTCAAGCACAGGCACTGGCTTCGGCTATCAGGAGTGGCGCCGAGCAACTAGTTAACCAACTAAATTCTGGGGCTCTTCAGGATCCTCCCCGCAAGTATAAATGGCTATCTGACCGTCGCTCGCTCCCTCGGCTCGTTTCTCCGTCTCAAGAACATGAGACAGTGATCGCCAGCAGTGTTATCTTTCATTATTTATTCCTTATAGAGTCTTTTCCTTACTGTTAGCGTTCGTCGTTCTCTTTGCCGGCTCGTTTTCGTCCCTTGTATTTAACCCCGGCGGCGCATTTGAAGTACTTCTTAGCAGGCAGTCGACTATGCGGGGAACGACGACGCTGCCATGGCAGCTCTCTAGACGGATCGCAAACCTTCCGAGGACAAGATGGAGCTGTCGCAGCTTATACGGAGTTGCTCAGAGTCGGAAGGCGTCTAGTCAGAGCTATGCTCGAGGGCCGTCGGAGGTTTGTTAATTAGGAACCTTCCCAGCTTTCCTGGTTTGGTCATTGAGCTGACGGATATTCCCCTTACTGTGCGAGGCAGCCGCCGTTATTTGAGCAGACAGTCGGCGATTACTTTGCGGATACTGTGAAGAAATATGGAGAGAGGACTGCGTTAGTTTTGGCGCTATCTGTTCTGTTCTGTCGTTTGGGGGAAGACTGACGTTATTGGGACCGGACAGGGTTATTTCGAGGCACCAGGGCCAGAGAGTGACATATAAAGAATTGGATCAGAGAAGCAATTCGCTAGCTCGTGGATTGGCGTCTACCGGCGTCAAAAAGGGAGACAGAGTGGCCGTGTCTTTGGGAAACGGACTGGAATATGCCATTGTGAGGATACGTTTGAAGCCATACTGGAGAGACTGCTGAGCTGACCATGGATTTCACAGGCGACATATGCTCTGTTCAAACTGGGAGCAGTCCTGGTAAGTACATTTTCATTTACCTATGCTCGGTGACAGACAGCTACTGATACCATACCCAGGTCCCTCTTAATCCATCGTTCAATTTCAACCAGGTGACATCTGCCCTCAGCCATCTGGAGGCTTCCCACTTGATCATAAGTACGGAAGTCAACCTACCTCGAAAAGACCCTCGGTCGAACATTCCCTTACTGCAGGAGCTTGTTCCCGATCTTCAGTCCGTCAAACTCCAGTCTACTGTCAGCTCCCTCAAACAGATCATCCTAGTCCAGAACGATGCCGGTCGAATTGATACCTCTGCATTAAAGTGCATCACACCGTATACTTCGATATACTCTGAGCTCCTGCAGGACATGAAGGCTTTGCCCGACCAGGGACTCTCTCCAACTGATGTTGTGAATATCCAATTCACCTCCGGGACAACATCAATGCCCAAGGCAGCATGCCTGAGCCACCGATCGATATTAAACAATGGGGTGCAAATTGGGGATAGAATGCTGCTCACGCCCAAGGATATCGTATGCTGTCCTCCGCCGCTCTTCCACTGCTTCGGATGTATCCTCGGATACATGGCAACAGCCACTCATGGATCGGCCATAGTATTCCCAACCGAATCCTTCAACGCAGTAGCAACGTTGAAAGCTGTGCAGGAAGAGAAGTGCACGGCACTCTATGGCGTACCGACCATGTTCATAGAGGAGCTCGACCTCCTTGCAGACGGTGTCGTACCCTATGAGGGATTCCAGTACCTGCGCACTGGCATTGCAGCCGGCAGCAGCGTGCCATCTGAACTGATGAAGAAGCTACACAAAACGCTCAACCTGACTGAGCTGACAATATGCTACGGTATGACGGAGACAAGCCCCGTCTCGACCATGACTGCAACGGACGACCCGATTGAGAAGCGGCTGAACACTGTGGGCAAGTTACTTCCACATGTCGAAGCCAAAGTGGTCAACCCACTAGATTACGATCAAATACTCCCTCTAGGCGAGAGGGGTGAGCTGGCTGTCAGCGGATATCATGTCATGAAGGAATATTGGGGCGCACCCGAGAAGACTGCCGCTGTGATGGTGCCAGACTCTGAAGGGAAGATATGGATGCATGTGAGTATAGCTTTTTTTTTTTTTCGTTTTGCTTCTTCCTCTTCTTGTTTACGGCTTCTAATCTATTCGTCCACAAGACCGGTGACGAAGCTTCAATGTCTGCCGACGGATACATCACCATCACCGGGCGTATCAAGGACCTGATCATCCGTGGGGGCGAGAATATTCACCCTCTTGAGGTCGAAAACTGCCTTCTCGCTCACCCCAGCGTGTCCAACGTATCTGTGCTAGGGGTCCCCGACGAGCGCTACGGGGAAGCCGTTGCCGCGTTTGTGGTAACACATGCTGAAGGGGAGGGCAAGGTGACGTCTGCAGAGATCAAGAGCTGGGTTCGCGGCAAACTGAGCCATCATCTAGGTAAGTGAGTTGAGAGTCGAGAGCTGTTGCCCATCCCATCTGCACCACCATTCCCATCCCATCCCGGACAACTTCCTTGATCCCTTCACCGAGGCCGAAAGCCAGGGCAAAAAAGCAAGTCGTCCCAACTCGACGGGATGGTCGCCGTGTCCGCGCACTACCCTGCGATCATCCCGCCAAGGCCACCCTGGCAAGGCTTGATTTTGCTTATTTGAGGTTATTCGATGGTGATATCTGTTTGTTTTTTCTCCTTTTGGCTCTTCGCTTCAAGATTTCTGGCCTCGCGATAAGCTGGGTTGGTATCTTGCTGCATTGCCAGCACATGGGCAGAGTCGTTGTTTCATAACACTCGCACAGCATATACCCAGCATGGAGCTGCGGATGGCTGATCCTATACCCGCGATTGATTGATCCTCTAAGATGGAAAATTGGTGATGACCAATTGTCGCTAGCGCGAGCAGGAGACTCCGCTTAACAGCGTCCAATTGTCTCGCTGTCATTCAATCTATCGCAAAATTACCCATCGTCCCATTATATACTTCCACGCATACGGAGTGTATATAAGTAATATTCCACACCACCAGGTTGCGACGATGGCCGTGCAACCTGTCTTCCAAGGTCTCCATGTGATCCATGTGGAGTCCACGAGAGTGGCAGTGGCTGGCAACTAGCGCAAGCTTCCCATGTCTGCAAGACTAGGACTGTTTCTGTCAAGCGTCCTCTCTCGCTGCATGTCCGGTCGCCTGAATGCTTGTCACGGCACAGGGGGGCCTGCTGCTGCATCTTTTGTGTCTCCTGCCCCCCTCTTTCCCCCTTTTTTTTGAGTTGCATTCGTTCGCCCTCGCTCGCCATCACCGTCCATTCGGCTGTCGATCCGGCGCTACGAATCCGTGCCATTAATGGAGCTGAAGCTCTCATCTCAACGCTCAAGCCCTCTTTTCCAATTATTTTACCTTTATCCCATCGCCGGTTTATATATACACAGACTCAAATCCTTCAAAGCCCAGTTCCCCGGAGAATTTTCCCAAGGATATTTCTCTTTTCTCCCTAAGCTTCGTTTCTTTTTCCTTCGTTGCCTTACTCCATTCTCCTACTCGCCTTTCTCCTCTCCCATCTCCCGCTTGCATTTTATTCTGGACTGCTTTTTCGGTCACCGGCGCTAACGACGATCACTTCCTGCTTGACAGTGCCTAAATATATCTTCTACATCGATGCCTCGGACTTCCCAAAGACCGCTAGTGGCAAGATACAGAAATTCAAGCTTCGTGAACGTGCAATTGAGCTGATCAATGAAGACCAGCACCAGGAAATGGCAGCGGTATCGGCCAGCGGCACGGCAGCACAAACTGAGCGAACTTGAAACAAGCTCAAGCGGCAGAAAGTGAGTTGGTTGCTTTTCCCGGGTATTTTGGATATCGAAACGTGGAATCGAATGAACCCGTCACTGGGTATGACCGCGGCTTGTTTTTGGAGCAGGATGAGAGAATTAAACCACCACTATCCCGCATGCTCGCTCCCCCCCTATCTATCTGATTCATCTCCCGCTTTCGCGTCCGCATCCGCATCCGCTGCTCTGACCTGACCTCCTGCCTCGTCACCCCCTCCATCGCCTCCCACCCCTGCGATATATATTGTTTATGTTTCTCCATATGTCGTCATCAAAATGGAGGCATCCTCACATCAGTACTTAAGTACGGGTGCACTATTGAGTATTTAAATGGGGCACCATACTTCGGTACCCATAACCAGTTTTACCTGACAAGTGTAAAGTACAGGAATAACTAGTGCGTATGTAAAAATCTGGGAAAACCCCTCTCGTATCTTCTCCAGGTTACGCTGAGGCGGAAGAGATAGGGATATAAGTAGCCTCGTATCCTTTCTATGATTGCAATTTTGGATTAAAGAATAGAAATTGGGTTAACTAGTTGCTCCAGAGTTATTCGAAGCGAGGTGCATTCGAACCGAAACTGACGTCGCTACCCGTTCTCAAGAGTAATAATCGTAAAATAAGATGAAATAGAAGCGAGGCCGGAGAGTCTCTGCTGGATAGATATATTTGGAAGCGCCATGGGTGTGTCACGTGATGGTATTTTTTTCCAGGTTGGGTCAAACATTTGGGCTTCAGCTACAACGTCCTTGACAGAGCCTCTACTATGCAGCAGCCTGGATGCCTTTGCGGCTCAAGTCGTGACCGTTGGAAGGGCTCAGCTTTGTTCCTCTAGTGGGCTGCAGCTAGTAACGGATTTATCCGTGAAGGGCTACTGAATGCTACCACATGACGGGGTCAGCAACAAGGTCAATATCCAGTACTCTGTAGGAACTGGAAGCTTAGAAATGACGACGACTACATCAGCTCAGGAATGAGGAATATGGAGGATTACTCATGATACGAATTCCTCCGACCCATCCAGCAGGAGTCACCAGCAGTACATCTAGAAGAGTCACAGTATTTTTTGTCTCGTGGCAAATGACTCTTATGGACGAAAGTTGATGTTGATACCGATGTTGAAAACTATACCCGAAGAAATCGAATCAAAGACAGCCTTCCTAGCATATGCAAGGGGCCACGAAGAATGCTGCAAGGGACTCGCCTTGACGATTCAAGGCCTTTGGTGACCATGATCTCGAATCACCGCGGAGGCATTACTATATCCAGAACTAATCAAGGCGAGGTTTAAGTCATGGTTGCCCAGAAGGTATTTACCCGTGGCAAGGCCAGATGTGAGCTGGGTCCACGTATTTTGATATACGTGGAATGCCATGGCCGATTCCGTGAGAACCTTTCGACGTGCGTGAGACGCCCGGCAGATATATTATTATTATATGTACGCTTACCTTATAAGCAACAACGCAACGGTCACTCAGCAGGTATCCCTGGCGGGCTGGGCTATATATAATTCGAGAGCAACCACAAGGATAAAAGCGGATACTCACTGACCCAACAAATTGATAAAAAAAAATAAAATAACCCATATTTACAAGCTTACTTGCAGGGATGTGGATGGAGGATTACCAATTTTACGATACTGTATGTAAGTAAGGACATACCAAGCCCCCAGCAAGGGAGAGTCGTCCGTTAATCAACTTTGCACCGCCGACATATACGAGAGGCAGGCAGACATCGAAGGTCGAGTTGAGAATTGAACATCAAGAAAGAGGGTGAATTAAGCCTTCTTGTCGTGGGACAGGTGCATGAACATCCATCCCATCACGATGGTGGACGTTGAAAAAGTGGAAGTATTTAACGGCAGGCGAGCTTGACGCGGAATAATTAAAAAGTATGTGAAATGTGAGTTATGGCTGGAAGCAGGAAAGAGTGTTCAGCGCACGGTCAGGGTACATCGCTACATCGACATTTTGACATTCAAACTTATCGCCATCGCGGTCGGTGAACTTGGATGGTAGCAGGCAGTAGTTGGAAGTTGCAAGTTAATGCGCCACTCGCTTCCATCGATCAGCTGTGCTCAAAAAAGCCACTGACCCACGAACGCGGCGATGTACTTATAAATACCTGGGGAAAATAAATAAATACACCGTCATAACTCGGGGTAGCGCAAGCCATCCAACATCAAACAGCGCGAAGGAAGGACGTTGTTGGTCTTTGCCGCTTCCATCTGCCATCTTGCCAGGCGGCTGAAATCAAACTAGCGTGTTTGCTCGATGGTATATACGGGGATGGCAAGAGTGATGTTCAGCAAGCTTCGATGTGATGGGCCGTCATATGATGGGACGCAACGATGGTCGAGCTGCTTCGTGGGCTGGAAGGGCATCTCAATAGGTCGAACGTGAGGACAGAGAGAGAGGGAGAGAGAGAGAGAGAGCGGGAATCGACTCGGCAGCTCGGCATGTCGGCAGGTCTGCACATCATCAATCATGGCATGGCATCCTCTCTTGATCTGAAACTCGGCCCATTCTCATCCACCCTTCTCCTGCCGGTATTTCTTCACGGAAAAAAAAAATCTTCATCGCTTATCACACGCCCCGTCTCGTCCTCCAAAAACTCCCTTTCTTCATCTCGCGCGAGAGGAAAAGAAAAGTTTTGTATCCCCACGCACGGTCCGCGGAAAAGCCCCTGCTTGACTTCCGTTAAAGCAGCACCGCTCTCTGTCCCAAACAGGCCTAGCGTAAGGACAAGGTGTAAAATAGGGTCCAAGCTTCTTTTTCACCCTGCATGACATGATTACATAAGTCTGCATAAGGGATAAAAATAGACCGCATAAAAAAAAGATGAGTAAGGAGTTTGACCTGCTTAGCTAATATTCTCTCCATGCCGCGTTTGGCGCTGAATAAAAAGCAGGGAAGAAAGAGCAAAACGGCCTGTCATGGTAGATGGGATGGGCTGGGTGTTCTGGCCCTGTCCTGCTCCCATGACTGAAGAGATTTTTTTTACTTACTTAACATACTCTCTTGAGTTGCTGTTTAAGCATACTCGAGTGTAAGTTCTGACAGGGAGGTCGGAAACATCAACAAGCGGTTTCATATTTTTATCCCCGAGCACAACACAGTTCCCATACCAGCTAGTTTTAAGTGCTCCATATTGGTATAAACCTATATGGCTTCTCCGGATGCGGCATTTAGCACTATATAGCACTATAGATAAAAAACAAAAAGAAAAAAAAAAAAAAACACTCTGACACAAGCGGGACTCTCACCGTCCGGCCACTCCTTTCATCTCCTCCGATCGTTCGTTCGGCCTCACCGCGCCTCCGTCCGTCCGTCTTGCCATCCATCTTATCTCGTCATCTCTCCCTCTGCCGTCCTCCACACTCCGCACAGCCAACATAATATTTTTCTTATGTGCGTGGTTATGCACTTATGTAACCAACACGGAGGGGGGGCCACGCAGCCGAACCGATCTCATCGCATCGTTTCATGCATGTCATGTCCGAGCAGTTGTCAAGCCCTTGGCGAGATCGCACAGCCTGCCCTTCACGCAACCATCTTTCGAGTCGTCTTAGCCGTGACATTTTTCAGCGAATCCCCATGGTAATGTCATGATCGTTGTCAGGGTCATGGTCATGGTCATGGCCTGTGGCTGTCCCGCCAGCGCCCCCCCGCGATCCCTGGCCCGTCCTGTCCCTTCGTATCGGGGCGAACGAGAGCGCACGTTCGTCCAATCCATCATCGGCGATTAGTGATGTTCATGGGCCGCAGGTATCGCACCAGCCAAAGATGAGTGAGCAGGTACCGGCCGGAGAATACCTGCGAAGTTCCGCGCTGGCCGCAGGGGAAGGCAAAAAAGCGAGCCAAAGGGAAAATAAGGGAAGCTTTTTCTGGAACTTACGGGGATGGACATGGGGCATGCATTTTATCTGGGCCGGCGGGGGTGATGGGTGGACTGTAAGTATGGTCACGTATGTATGTATGGTAATTACGGTAAGATGGTTCCGGGACAAGCAGAGGACAAGACGAGGACGCCAGCAAGACAAGAGGAGATAGACGACAAGGCGAAGACTGGACGAAGACTGGACGAAGACTGGACGAAGGCCGGGACGATGAAGAAGACGAAGAAGAGTTCGATGGCAACGGCAGGTTATGCTGTCATGCCCCCCATGGGGTAACCAGAGAATGAACACCAGAGATAGGGGAGAGAAGACCATCTTTGCCGCCGGGGCTAACGCCGTCTCTTTCGGCCGCTGCAACGTTCCATCTCCCATCTCCCCATCTTCTGGTCTGCCATCCCGTGTCAGCCAGTCGCAGCGACTCTACGTGCAGGCTTTTCCAGAGAGTCTTTTTTATCTGCGGAGTATCAAGAGCTTATGTTTTATCATCTGCCATCGCCACGTCACGTGGTTTTATCTCGAAGTCGCAGGAGTTCGGTAGTTGGCGATGGACGTCAGGTAGGACGACCAAGCCCATGCCGGCCATGCCATGCCCTGCTGTGCTCACCAGCCATGTAACCCGTTAGATTACTCTAATATAAAAAGGAGTCTAGAGGGTGAGAAGTGTACAGGAGGAGGACAGGATGGGTGGGTGGTGCAGGAGTGTCGGTAAACGGCCCTGGTGTATCCCTTGACCATGGCCGTTAGCCAGCGCTGCTCACCGTCAGTTTGTTGTATGATGTATATGACCCTGCGGTATCGCCATGCTGATCACAGACAAGTACCCCAGGTATCTATTTCTCCATCGAGCAGTGCTCTCCAGGTAGCATTTAATAATTGTAATTGTAATATTGTCCCATGTCAGCGGTAGAGTTAACTAGCAGCTAGCCACTGCGGCCCGTCAGTCGGAGCTTTTACTGGGCAGTTCATCACTCTAAGTAACTAACACGACATCGCTTGCTTAGGTGTACTACCGGCGATGACCAACGGCAGGACAAACAAACAAACAGAGACAGATTCAAAGGCGTTTCATCGAGCCTTGGAGTCTAAGAGTCTAACGTCTGAACCCAAGCCGTGCGTTCCCTTGCTGGCCAGCCCGTCAATGGCGCCTCGTATGCCCAAGTAGGTCGGTCCCTAAGGGGGTGCTGGCCTCTCCATGTCAGAAAATGCGGTATTTTCCTCAAGACAGTCACAGATGCTAAGTTAGCTAGCTGGCCAGCTTATTTCTCCGCCCGGTAACTCGTTCAATTAACTCCCTGGAGCCCTGCTTGACATGGCGGTCGGTGAGTGGACGCGCAAGGGAGACGATTATCTGGGACGAGGGAGGAGGATCCCCGGAGCCAAACGCCAGAAAAGCTGGGAGCTGGAGCTGGAGCCCGGATGGACGCTCCTTTTTCCTTTCTACCCGATGGTGAAACCAAAGCTGTAGGTAGCTTCATGCAGAACAAACCAACTGAGAACAAGCCCAGCCCGGCAGTTGGAGAGCTGGGTCGTGTGTAATTATTCCTACCCAAAAAGACCACAAGGAAAGAAGAAAAGAAGGGCAGCCTATACGAACCGGTCGAAGCTTGAATGCAATTGACTTGGGGTCTCTCCTCTTCTAACTCGTTAAGCGATGGTGTTTCTTTTTGGCGGGCCCATTGCACCTGAGCAGCCTATATCCATCGGCCATCAATGTTGAGAGCATCTTTAAACTGGTTAGTTAGTTATTATTATTCATCTCCTGCATGCATTTATATGCAACGACCAGCATCCCATACACCCACTGCATCTCCCGTCCCCCCGTCCAACCAGTCAAAGTCACTGGGTCCAAGCAGAGTTCTCTTTTCTTCTTTCTTCACCTTTCGGCATGTCTGAGAGACTTTTCTTTTTTTTCTTTTTTTTTTTTTGGCTTCTCTCTCTTCAAGCTTGTCTTGGCCGAGACTGGGGAATTTCGAAAGGAACTGGCGGCTAGCGGGAATAAATCAATTAGCTGGCAGGGCGATGGGGGGGGAAGGGAATAACGGATGTGCTATTACTGGCTTGTTGGAGGAAAGGGGCACGCGACCGACCGCTCTTCCACTGCACGGCGACGAAGACGAAGACTGAGATAGAGAAGTTCAAGATGGAGTTACTGAGACGCAAAAGGGATAATATTATGTAACTGGCAACTGACCAGTCGGATGTTTTTGAGGAGAAGCCTGAAGGGGGTGTGGGTGGGCAGCGCGAAGGCGAAGAAGGATACACTCGGAAGACCAGACCAGCAGTATAGCCAGTGTAGAAGAAAGTCAGAGAGGATAAAAGAGATAGTTGGTGGTGATATCGGCATGGACTCGAGAGGCGTCGAGCATGGCACATCGCATGGCATGGCGTGGCATGGCTGGCCTTGACGCCCCGACTAGTTGAAGGCTTGAAGGCCTGAAGGGCCTGAGAGAAGGTCTCGGGATGTCCATCTTTGGCGTCCTCTCTTCGGCACCCGTTCCCGTGGAAGTGAAAAGTACCTCCCAGGGTAACCTTCCCAGCAAGCCATTCATGTACAAGTAACTGAGGTAAACCAGCGAGCCACGCGGACGCTTTTGTTCTTTTTCTCCGTGAGATGGCATAGGATGCCGGTCTGACTGCTTACTCTTCTTACTCTGCTTCGGTTACAGAAGACCCAAGAGTGAAGACCAAGAAGGAGTCTTCTCCTGATCTTCAGCCAAGCAGGGCCTATGGTCTGCCATCCACATCCACGGCCTGGGCATCGCAGCAGCAGCAGCAGCAGCAGCAGTACAGAGTAATGTCGTCTATGTAGTCCAAGGCCTCGCCCTGCCTTGGCCGTCTTTACTTGTTCGACCTGACTAGTCGATGGCTGTGACTTGACTGTCGTGATATTCCTGGATATTCCTTTTGCAGGCTGACGTCGTCCAGCAGGAAGAGCCAGAAGTCAGAAGCAACGAGAGATACGAAGATGGGCAGAAAGAAGCCTTGAGCCCGGGCAAAAAAGAAAAACAAAGTCAAGCACGCAAAAAGAAGCTGAAGCAGCAGCAGCAGCAGCAGCAGAAGCAGAAGCAGAAGAAGAAGAAGAAGAAGAAGAAGAAGAAGCTAAGAGGCGACCCAAGAGGAGAGATATAAGAAAGGCCTCGCTTTCCCCAGACTCGCCCCGGACTCTCCTCGGACTCGCTCTTCTTAATCCAATTCTACTCTACTCTTCTCTTCTCTTTCTCTATATCATCACCATCATCTTCTACTATCATCACCATCAACATCATCTTCTCGTCTTCTACCCTCCTGTAAGTAAATGACATCATGTCGCCTGCTGTCCTCTTCGTCGTCCTCCCTGACAGTCACGTAACGTCACAATACATCCCGGCAAGGCGTCCTCCCCCTTCCTTCGCCTGCTGTCCTCTGTCTCGTCCTGTCACGCCCCGTCACGCTCTGTACCCAAAGTAACCGTCGCATCCTCCCTTTTTTTTTTTTTTTTTTTTTTTTTTTTTGCAGACTCTTACAAGTCCGTTACCAATATTACATTACATTACCTTACATTAATTACCCACCTTTTTTCTTTTTCTTTCTTTTTTTTTCTTTTTTTTGCCTTTTTTTACTGCTTGGCCTCTTTTGGGCTCTTTTTGGCTTCTTCTTCTTTATACTTGAACTTCGTCTTCTTCTTCTTCCTCCTCGTCTTCTTCTTCTCTATCTTCTTCTTCTTCAGCTTTTGACACTCTCCACTCTTCGTCCTTCACCGTCATCGTCTTTTCTTCCCTCTCGGCTAACGCATGATAGTCCTTGTCTGATGGGTTCGCTATCCTCGACCGCCAGCTTCTTCCCTCGTCCCGTTGCTGCCTCGGCTCTGCGACTCCTGCACGCCCCTTCAGGTCGCCTCAGCTCGCTCCAGAGAGACTGTTGTCCTCGTCGTTACTAGACAAGACTCAACTCGACTGTCTTCTCGGATTCGATCTGACTTCAACTGACAATCCACCTACGTCGAGTCTGCAGCATAAGTCCACCGAGAGCCGCGTCCCATCCCACTATCAAAATCAACATCACCCACAACAGCCGAAGAAGAAGAACAACAACCACCACCGGGATTCCACCACAAGAACACCACCATTGGTTATATCAAAAGCAAGAGAAGAAAACAGAAGAAAAGACAGACTTCATAAAAGACAGGCATCTCGTCCTCCCTGGTCGCTGTCTTTGTATCACACAGACTCACAGTTCGACCGTTCCTGTCCGATCAACCGCCCCAAAGGCAGGGTTATCCCCAGCAAAGTTCACCACCACCACTCAAGCCACTCGACGATCTCTTCTATCAAATCATGGCCGGTTCGTCTACATCAACAGTCGGCGTCGACGTCAAGAAGCCGCCTCCTCTCATGGATATTCCGGCAGCGCTGGCCTCGTCTGCTGCTGCTGCGAGTCGACCGACCCTCGACCTGCCAGACAGCCTGCGCTGCTCTGACCTGCCCGGCGTCATCCACGAAGAAGACGAAGAGTCCGCTACCGAGCCCTCTGAGCCCGTCACCCCGACCAGTCTCACCCATCACAACCACCACAACCTCTTCAGCGGGCCTCACAGCTACCAGAGCCAGCAGCATCCTCGAATTGATCCCCCCAGCAGGGATCCCATGGTCAGCGTCATGTTCCCGTCGAGGTGCTAAGAATCCCATCATCGTAAACACCGAGCCCACGCCGCCATCCACCCCTTCTAGACACCCTCCAGCAGCTCAGGCTCAGGCTCAGGTTCCAACTCCAGCTCCAACATCAAATCCTACTGCTAATCCGACTTCCACTGCTACTACTTCTGCTCCAGTGGCCATTCCTCCTCCAGCTCGACCCTCGACTTCGACCTCGCAAAAATCCTCTCCACTGAGAAAGGCGTCCAAGTCGATCAAGGGCATTTTCCGTCGACCAAGCACCTCCGACGCCATGCCTCCGACCACTACTCCGGCTGCTAATAATACTGCTGCTGCTGGCAATGCTGTTCCTAATGCACAGACCGAACAAAAGAAACTCTCGCTGAACATGTTCCAAGCCAGCAACACGCGCAAGGGCTCGGTCTCGTCTTCGCACCAGCACTCACCCACTTCCTCGCGCACCAATTCCCCCCAGTCACCCAGCTCGCCCTCCAGCACGCTCCATGGCAACAGCAATCCTCAGAACCCCATGTATCTCGGAGTCACCCCTCCCTCCGACTCATCCTTCTCCCCCCGACGCCCTGCTCGCTCGTCGACGGGCCTCAGCCTCCGTGAGCGTAGCCGAGTCATGTTCGGAGCAACACCTCGGCCCCAGCGCGACGAGGATCAGCGAATTCGATCTCCTAGCCTCGGGGATGTGCAGAACCAACCAGAACGGCCCGGCTTCTCCATCCCTGCTGTTTCAGGCGCCGGCCTCAAGGCCCGTCGCATGAGCACCAGCCTTCCCGACGACTTTGACGTCAACACCTGTCCCCTTGCAGACGAATACACCAATAGCAGCAAACTGCCTGGCAAGCGCAAGGAGGTCGGTCGAGGCGCCACAGCCACCGTCAAGATCATGTGTCGACGCGGCAGCGACAAGTCCGAGCTCTTTGCCGTCAAGGAGTTCCGCAAGTGCGGCTCAAAGGAAGACCAGCATGAATATGAGCAAAAAGTGAAGTCGGAGTTTTCCATCGCCCAGTCCCTGCACCATCCCAACATCGTCGAGTCGTTCCGTCTGTGCACCAGCAACGGCCGCTACAACCATGTAATGGAGTACTGCTCGTACGGCGAGCTCTTCTCGCTCGTCCAGAAGAACTACCTCCAGCCCAAGGACAACCACTGCTTCTTCAAGCAGATGGTCCGAGGCGTCGCTCACCTGCACGAAAACGGCATCGCCCATCGCGACATCAAGCTTGAAAATCTGCTGCTCTCCGACGACGGTTACATCAAGATCACCGACTTTGGCGTCTCAGAGGTCTTCTCCGGTCTCCACCCTGGTCTTCGCAGCTCAGGCGGCGAGTGCGGCAAGGAGATGGGTGAGGTCCGTCTCTCTTCGCCTGGAATCTGCGGTTCCCTGCCCTACATCGCCCCCGAGGTCCTGGCAAAACAGTCCAGCTACGATCCACGCCCGCTCGACGTCTGGTCCTGTGCCATCGTCTACCTCACTCTACACTTCCGAGGCAACCTGTGGCCCTCTGCCAGCCGCGAGCACCCCAACTACGCCCGCTTCACCTCTGGATGGGAGAAGTTCCTCGCTTCTTCGGAGAACGGCATCCCCTCTGAAGACAAGATGCCCTCGTGCGGCCCGGCGTTCAAGCACATCGGCAACCGCAACCTGAAGCTGCTGCTGCTCAAGATGCTGCACCCAGACCCGGCCAAGCGGATTACCATCAAGGAAGTCCTGGGCGACCGCTTCATGAAGAGCGTCGAGTGCTGTGCTCCCGAGACGAAGGGCGAGGAGCAGATCGAGGCTGTGGGCGCCGGCATCGACGCAGCGGGCAAGGCCTCTTCCAAGCGCGCGAGCAAGATGGTTGTCCAGAAGATCCACCACCACTTCCCACCGGAGAAGAAGTATCTCCCACAGTACCGCTTTGACATGGGCGATGGCTACAACTGATCGCAACTAAACTATCGCAACTGATCACTGACTGCGGCGACGCTCTCATCACTCACCATTTATCACCTTTTCCTTTCTTTTCTGTTACTGATACACTGATATGTCTTGTTCTGCTATAAAGGGTGGTTTTCTGCTTTGCTCACCTGGCTTAACGACTGCATTGGGGGTTCCTTTCCTTTCACTTCCAGCTTCTCATCACCTTTAATCACCTTCTTCTCCAGCGTACATAAAACCCTTAACGGCCCTTCACTGACCTCCCTTCATCCTTCTGTGTGAATATTCAACCTTGTCCCTTTCCTCTGCTTCTGCTTCTGCTTCTTCTGGCGTTGGTCTACATGTCTGTGTCTGTACTCTCCCCGCGTCAAGGGTCGAGGGTTGTCTCTCATTCTTCTTCTTCTGCTGCTGCTGCTTCTACTGCAATACACTGTTGTCTATCAAAGTGCGAGTTCGACTGCAAGCTACAAACTAATGACTGTTCGAGTTACAAAATACCTACCTACCTACCAAATTCTACATAGAAGAGCTTATCTGTACTTGCATGCACGCTTAATCTCTGCCTCTATCTATAGACGGTGTCACTCTCGATCTCGCCAGCGTCGCACCGCGCATCCTGCCTGCCACCCCCCCCTTGGCCTTCGTCCATCACTCGATCTCTCGGAGCATCCGCCTCGAAGTGACCGACCAACCGACCGACCGACCAACTCTCGCTCCTGTCCATCACACAGCCCAGATGCCAACCTCCTACACATCATCACCAGGCCAAGTCTGTCCAGTTCAGTCTATCCAGCCCAGCCAGCCCAGCTCAAGGCCCAAGACTGCTCAGCAGCACAGCCAGCGACACAGCCAAGTATACAAGTCACAGGTAAGTTAAGTATACAGATACACGCCCGGGCATTTCCGGCTGCTCGTCCCGTCTCGTTACGTTTCGTTCCGTCTCGTCTCGTCTCGTCTCGTCTCGATTTTTCACGGCGGCGGAGGCGGCGGCGCTTACAGGGCAGACCATCATCCCAAGACGAACTATTACTTACACTTACCTTTCCTTTCTCATGCCCAGCGCCAACACATCCTCCATCCTGTCCTTTGCCAGCGCCAAGGGCGGACGACGCCTACCAAGTCGACTCAAGACCCTCGGGACGTCTCATCGTCTCGTTTGCTTGTCCGGTTTGCCTGGCCAGCAACCCAAGTCTGCGCCCGCCAAGTTGACTGCGCGGCAAGCGACATTCTCCCTCACCCAGCCAGGTCACTCTAATATCCGTACCCAAGACTTGGGACTTGATCTTGACTGTCGGCTGAGCATGCAAGCAAAGTCGATCTTGTCTGACGGTCCAGCGGGCCAAGAAGGGGGTTATGGGGGGGGGGGGGAGGGGGGATGTGCACAGGGAGGACGATATCAGGCGGACTGGCTGGCATAACTCGACTTCGAGATGGCATGCACGTACACATGCACATACATCTCGATTCCAGCCTGGTTCAGTGTTGGCTGAAGAAATGGATTGTAATTTTCCTTTCTTTTTTACCGATACCTTGGCCCCCCTTTCAGCAGCACAGCACAGCATCCGAGAATGCAGGAGATGAAGCTTTGTTTTTCTTCCCTGTTCCGCCGGCGCCCGCATGAAACGGGGTGAACGAACGAACAGATCATGATCTGTGATCTTCGCGGGATGCGTGAAAGGTGTCCGTTTGGGACAGGAGAGTAATATTCAATGATCTCCCTTGGCGGGCTTGTCGGGGCGGTCTTTTCGTCGAGATGGGCGCGTAGGTGAGGCAGGATGGCCTTGAGGCAGTGCTGCAGACGCCTTGCTTGACTAACTATTGATTGCCTTGGTGTGCAGCGTGTCACCATCTCGTCTCTTTCATCGAGCCTTGGTCGTCGTCTCGTCGTTCTTTCATTCATATGCTCTTACTGCTGACTGCTGGCTGACTGGACTGTCTACCTACCTGCTGCTCAACGCCTGACCTGCGAAAAAGAAAGAGGATTGACGGTGCATGCATGAAGAGTAAGCAGTAGCAGGCAAAGTACTCCGTACGGAGTAAGCATAAAAGTTGAAGACGGCGGGAAAGGCAAGCGAAGAATCAGCGGGCGGGCGGCGCCAAGACCAAAACAGAACTCGACTAGAGCCAAGAGTAGCCAAGACTTTTCCGCTTGGCGGCGCTCAGGAGAAAAAAAAAAAAGAACTGCCAAGAGATTTTGTTTTGATTGTTTATTCTTATCTTAGTAAGACTAAAGTTTCTGGCTGTTTGGGGAAAGGGCGACGGAACCCGCGTGCCAAGCCCGCCTTCGAGAAGGAAGCAGGAAGGAGCGATCATGATGGTTGCACAAGGGGGAAAGGTGCAATCAGGTCCTCGCTCTTTCCTCTTTTCATTTTTGCATCCCAAGAAGGGGGGGGGGGGGGGGAGGAGGAGAAAGGGATACCTCCTGTATTTTATGCACCGTATTTATGCCAACCTCCCGTATGTAAGTATGGTAAGTAATGGGATGGCCTGAAATTAACAACAGATGAAATTGCATAAAGATAAGCCAAGAGCCACGCCAAGCCAAGCATATAGTCGATGTATGGTACAAAGTGTTGAGGCAGTGTTGTAGTAGTATACACAATGAATAAACCAAGCCCGGTCAAATAGCACTTAGACCTCAACGCGGGTTGGGATCTTGACTTCTCCCCTCCTCCTGTCTGCAAGAGGCACTCCATACCGCCGGCCAACGCCCTTCTCGCCGCGTCCGTCCAGCCCAACCGTCTCCCTACTCACCACCACATCCCGGAACCTGAACTCGAACCGTCCCTCCGTGGGCTCAACCCGCGTCATGCTCGCTGCCTCCCTGGCCTTCCGCTTCTCCTTGCGCGCCTTCTCAGCCTGCTCGTCCGCCTCGATGCGCGCCATGTACCGCCTGCTGCGCTCCCCCATCTCGTTCGACAGCGTGATCTTGTCCCGCTCGGCAGCTACCATGTGAGGGTGCGGGATGCGCACCTCCGCCGGCTGCAGCACCTGGTACTCGTTGGCGCCCTTGCCGACCTTCTCGATCCGATGCGGGGCGTGCGTCACTTTGGCGATGTACTCGGGTGTGTTGGCGGGTTGATCGCGCTCAGCGGCCGGCAGGGCGGGTGCGGCGGAGAAGGCTCGGGCGGCGTCGACGCGGGTGAAGTGCCGCGACTCAGAGACCGGGTAGAAGATTTGCGGTTCGGTGAGCTTGTGCACTGGTAGGTCGTTGATGGGCTCGTGGGCTATTTGGGGTTCTCCGCGGGGCGCCAGAGGGGTGGTGGGCAGCATTGAGCGTACTGCTCGGCCGTAGGGCAGGGCAAGTGGTTTTTTCTAGACAAAGTCAGTTTAGTTGCAATCAATTCGTGTTATCAATGTGTCTGCCATTCATATAGTATGGCTGTCTTCTCAGAATAGTTACAAAACTTAATCATTCTCTTGGAGTCATCAAGACTAATCGATTTATTCATCATGGAAGACCATATCGTGCCAGCATAGGGACATGGATAGGGTTAGGGTATAAGAGTTCGGATCATTCAACTCACCTCGGCTTTCATGCGTTTCTCCAGCTCAACCAGTCTCACCACCGCCCCAATACGCCTCATATCAACTCCAAACATAACACTCACGGTCTTCACACTCTTCCCTTTATTGATAACCTGCTCATATATCTCATTCCGTAACTCTTCACTCAATATGCTCTCGCTGATAAACACCGGGTTATGCGGGAATGGCCGCGCCGATGGCTCGACTTCCACCAACCGTCCATCAGGTCCTGTTCTGGCTAGAGGCGCCTTCGGTTTACCATCCTTTTCGTAGGCTGTCAGGTAATTTGTGCTCGACGGTATGGGGTCCTTGAACACCCTGCCGGGCCCGTTTAGCCAGCCGAACATCGCTTGTCGACGTTTGGAGATCTGTAGATTGGGCGTCGAGCTGAAGGCACGGCACGACGATGTGCATGTCGATTGTGTTAGGCTGTATATCGAGGTGTTCTGTGAGGATTGGAGGAGATGATGATGTAAATTGGCCAGCCGTTTTGCGGCCCTTAACCGTGGTGGCATCGTGAGCTGATGTTGTGATTATACGAAAATGTGGACAAGGATGGAAAAAAAGAAGGAAAAGCTAGGGTATCGAGCGACTGAGACATTCAAGCCCTCGCTGTGCTTTCACGTCTCTTTTAACAGGCCAATGGCTGCCTTATGCTCGTCGTTGTCGCTGGTTCTTCTTAACGGCAGAAAAAAAGTTGAAGCTTTCAAAGTTGAAAATTCGCTGGATTAAGATGTGCACGTGATAAGTTGCTGACTAAGATTGATAAGGCTCTTCTCTCGCTCGTCCTTCCTGACTTTCAACGACTTTTTAATTGCAGACAACAGCATCAACACCGACAGCACAATTAACAGCGACATTGGTTCAGTCTTCATACTCGTTGCTAAAGCATTGAAGAGCTGGTGGAGACCACATACCCTTCTCAACCGCTTCCGTCTGTCTCTCAGCTTCGTTGCCAACCATACCATAATCAAACATGGACCAGAGCTTAGATGAGATCATAGCTGAACGTCCCGTAAGTCTCTCCCCCTCTAAGACATACATGCCGAAAAGCTCCAACTGACTTCTTTACTGCTGTATAGGACGCCTCTCGCCCCAGAGGTGGCCGCATGGCGGGTTCTCGCCGAAGAAACAACTTCCGCGGTTCTCACAAGGTAACTATCGACCCTAACCCTGTCACAATGAGCTCCCGTGCTGATCACTTATAGGTCCTCATCCTCCTCCTCCCATCGCTGCCTTAGCTACATACCTACATATCTATCTGCCTGCCAATAGCCGTGTCTTGACGTGTCCAGCGTCGAAGTCTCGCAACACGGACACCAACAAGACTTGCAAATCTTTTCGATATGATATGATATGATTGATTACACACAAGGCCATACATAGCAACTAGATCTGACTGACCTTCGGCTAACCTTTGTCCTTCTTTTTCTCTGAGTAACAACAGTCTTCCAGAGGTGATAGAGCAGATTTGGACCTGTGAGTTATTGGACTACTGCAGGGTTGCAAGAGGCGGACGGTTTCAAGAAAAAGCAGACTAATGGGTTATGTGTTCGGTAGTGATTGGGTTCACGACAGGTTTGAAGACGACAGAGATTGTGAGTATTACCCTCGTTCCGTATATTTGGTTTGTTTAGGTACAATCTTCTAACAATGATGTTATAGCTCGATCCTCTCGACCTCCGAGACAGCCTCGTACGGATAGATACAACTCTGGCCCTGCTGACCAGTACGTAACTACAACCAACTGTGCCGGACATCCCATACCTAACACTAATCAACAGTGATTCGCGCGGAGCAAAAATTCGAGTCAGCAATATCCACTATGACTTGACCCAGGAAGACCTCGAGGTTCGACTCCCTTTGTTCTCGTCCCATATATAATGCAATTATACCTAACACAACACAACACAGGAGCTGTTCACCCGCATTGGGCCAGTCTATTCCGTCTCCCTTCTCTACGACAGAGCCGGGCGCTCCGAAGGCACCGCATTCGTAACTTACAAACGACTCTCCGACGCCGAAACCGCCATCCATGAATTTGATGGCGCAAACGCCAAGGGCCAACCAATTCGTCTCACCCTCGTCCCCAGCGCTGCCCCCCGACGCCGCAACCCATTCGACTCCGCCGAGATGCCAAAGGGAAGCCTGTTCGATCGTGCCGAGCGACCGAGGGGAAGAGACAGTCGTAGTCTTAGCCCGGAGGCTGCTGAGGCTAGCGGTGGCCGAAGAGGTAGACGGAACAATACCAATCTTGCCCCGCCAGATAACATCGACCGGTACGTGCCTGGTCAGCGATCGCCGATACGGAAACATGACTCGGGTAGAAACAGGGGTCGTCGGGGTGGTGGTGGTGGTGGTGGTAGAGACAGCAGGGAAGCAACTGGTAGTCGGAATCGTGGGTCGGGAAGAATGAAGAAGACGCAGGAAGAGCTCGACCAGGAGATGGAGGATTACTGGGGGAAAGCCAACGCTGATACTGCTGGCGGTGCTAACAATAATGCCGCTGAAAACCAGCCCGCCGCTGCTCAACCCGCTGCTCAGCCTGCCCCTGCAGCTGGTGCTGAGGAAGACATTGACATGATTGAGTGAGCAGTATTTTGTTTGACTGCATCTGGCTTGTATGGTTATAGAACAATATGAGCCGGTTGGATTTCTTGTCGTTTCGTGCTAGGTTCCGCCCCAATTTGATAATAATTACCACTCTGTACCTGATATTCCCTAACCTTCAACCCTGATACTTGAATTTGGATACAATCTACGAATGTCCTGTAGACAGAATATAGACAGAATGTAGACCAATGGTGTTATTATTTGATGTTGAATAACACAGACTACCCTCCTGCTACCATATGTAAGTAAACCAACCTTACATGGCTAACCTATTTAACCAAACAGTTTTGAAGCAAGGGTTTTCTCTGCATGACCGTTGACCTGCAAGTCACTCGCCAGGCTGATAGTCTATCTCCATAGACCATATGGCTCTCTACATGCTTTCCATAACTTGATCGTCCCATCCTCGCTTCCTGTGCCGTAAATCTTGCCGTCAGGGGAGTAGCTGAGTGACCAAATCGGGCCATGGTGGCCCCGTTGCACCTCTGAGTTTCGCCGTTAGTAACCTAGATACCACTGTCATATCGATATTAGCCAGGAAAAGAGGGGCCACACACCTAGTTCGTCGTTGGATTCAAGATCGTAAACGCGCGCCCATGTATCGCCTGTGCTGCCGGTGACGAACCGGCTCGTTACCTTGTTAACGGCAACACTAGCAAGCTCATACGAGAAATCAGTCTTTTTCAACAACCGGCCTGGCTGTACGGGGTCGAAAAAGTACGCTGATTTGCCTGCAGCAACGCTCAATACACCCGGGTCGTTGGGTGTCGTTGAAATTGCATTCATCTCACAACTACCAATTGTGCCATCCACAGAATATTCCGCACATGGGTGACGAGAACGGAGATCCCACCATCGAATCTTCTTATCATCTGCAGCAGTGACGAGGATGTTGTAGTCCTGGTACCAGATGATTGATTTGATAGTTCCGTTGTGTACGCCGGGGCCAATTTCATAGCTCATGGCGTTGGAGGAAGATGAGCTGGAACTTGCGCCGTTGGCTGCGTTTTGAGACGTGGGTGAGGACGAACTACTGCCCTGAGCCCGGGAGAGGTCAAAGATACGTAGTTTCTTCTCCATGCCGCCTGTGGCTAGGATTTGAGGGCCGGCTTGAACGGGGAACGCAACTGCTCGGACAATGTGGGAGTGCTGCAATGTGTGCAGACACTCCCCAGTATGTGTGTCCCATACCTTTCTAGTTGAGATGTGAGCAACGGGTTCAAAATTTGCATGATGTTGGAATTGGGTCGTCGGATGACATACGCAGAGAAGTCTGCTGCAGCGGTAGCAGCAATGGTAGCGTCCACGGAGAGCCTTGCCTGCCAAACGGCGCCTTTGTGGCCTAGAAATGTCCCAATCCTTCATTGAGTTGATACCATGTCAGCTAAAGCCTATAGAAGAGAGTTCTTATGAGGCGAGACTAACCAATCACCAGTGATCCCATCCCGGAGCATAGGATTATTATCTGCAGAGTAAAAAACTTTAGTCATAGAAATTGAATATAGCTTGGGATTGTATATTGTTTTACCTTTGCAGGCTGAGATCAGGTAGTATTGGTCATCTTCTGTAGTTGAAGAGAAGCTGATGTGAGGCACAGGCCGTGAATGCCCATGACAAGTCAAGGGCACAACCTTTGAAGCATCTACCGGGAAGGAATCAGCTTCACGTCATCGAGATAGCGGACCAGCTTTGGTTAGGGTTCAATAATAGGAAGAACCATAGCTTACCAGATGCCATCTGTCTTGGAGGCGGTGACTGAGGAATGAAACCACAACTCGGTCAAAAGGAATACAAGAAAAAGGCAAAAAAATCAGTAGCCACAAGCTAATGAAGAGTATATGAAGAGGGGAAATAAAGGTCAAGTAGAGAAGATATCAAGAAAATAACGGAAAGTAAACAAGATCCCAAGGTAGAGAGGTATCTCCGAAGACAAAAAATCGAGGGCCAATGAACACCGGTCTTTTTGCACCAGCAATATGATAGTGAAGGGAATCCGTTCAGTCGTCAAAACATTCCTATCATTAAAACAGAACAGAAAATGGAGAAAATGGAGCTCGTCTATAAGGGAGTGAAAGGCGTGGAGCAGTGGCACGGAAGCAGAAGACAGCTCGTCTCTTGCAGGACCAAAATCCAAAGCGGAGGGGCTGGCTTCCGAGTCCCTTTTTTTGCTATTCTGCGTTTTCTCCTTCTTTTTTGTCTAAAGAATCAACCTGACGAACGCTGTGCAAGGGCTTCTCAGCGGGATGGAAAGGAGAGAATAAAGGACAAGATGGTTGGTCGTATAAGAAGCAGTGGACAAACGACCAAGAACGCTGTCTTCTTTTTTTCTTTTTGATATCGGCGGACAGGGCTCGGTGGAGAGTTTAAGCGCGGAGGGAGCAAGCGCTAAGCGGGATGAGGTAAGGCTCCAGGGCACATGACTCTCTTCTTCAACGTTTAGTGTTCGACGGCGGCTTTGGGACACGCGGAGAAGGACGAGGACGACGGGAGATGCAGAGGGTATTAAGGCGGCGGATAGGCGGCGGCCAATTCACCGTGGAGTAGGACAGGACGGCTTGAACTTTTTCGTGCTGGAGACACTTTTTTTCTGCAGGGGAGCAGACGTCCTCGTTCCCTGCAGTTTTGGCGCATACCAGGAGCTGCTGGGCTTGTCCACAGGGATGTTGTACCCTCTGGCTAGCGGGACACCATACTAGACAGTTTGACTCGCAACACCCACCGTTCCATTATCAGGGACATCGCGAGAGCTTCAGACGGCTACTTGAGAGCTGACATTGGCCGTTTATGCTGTGGCTGTAAGAAAAGAAGCCGCCTATTTTGTATATCCTTTACACCATGATGAGGCATATGGTATATAGTACCTCTTACGTCTTCGTATACCAGGATGTCCGTTATTTAAACTGTTTCATAGTACTCCGTAGAACCGAAGTCATTATCTTATAGTAGGTATATACAACCAGATCTTGATTATTCGCCATCTTCTTGTTGCCCTTAATAGTGTGCAATCCCGTGCAATATCACAACATTATGTTCTTCTTGGCAACTCCCTTCACCAAAGTATTCACCAAAGTATTTGATAGCAATGGATGAGCCAGCCAGCTTTGGTTGTGTCCGACTGTCATGTGACCTGGTCTGCCAAATTTTGTATTATGTCATGCAAAGAATAGCAACTCCAACCCCCACACTCTGGCACTCTGCAAACAAGCCGAAGAACTACAGCCACAGCCATTCGTTGCTCTTCGTGATAACTTCATTTTCTCCGTTGGGCGACGGATTTATACCGTGGTAGCTGTGTTTTTTGCTCGCTCATACGATACGTTCTCTTTATAGCCAACCAAAATCATTTGTATGCCGGACTTCAAGATCTCCGCCCTTCTGGAAGGCCACAGCGATGACGTTAGTCCGAATTAACCCTCTCGCCATATAAGGAGCTACTGTGACTGATTTCTTGATATATAGGTTCGAGCTGTGGCCTTTCCAACTACATCTACTGCTCTAACGTCGTCCCGAGATGCAACTGTTCGTATGTGGACAGTGGTATCGTCCCCGCCTCCGAAGTTTGATGATAAGATCACAGTGCATGGGTCGGCATTTATAAATTCCCTGGCTTACTGCCCTCCAACAGGGGACTATCCGGAAGGACTGATATTTAGTGCTGGGCAAGATACGATAATAGAAGCAAGACAGCCCGGGAAACCAGCGGATGACAACGCTGAGCGTTTGCTGCTTGGTCATACTGGCAACGTATGTGCTCTAGCTGTCTCGCCAGACCGTAAGTGGCTGGCCAGTGGAAGCTGGGACTCTACTGGACGCCTTTGGGAGATTGGAAAATGGAGCAAGGAAGTGGTTCTGGATGGTCATGGAGGCAGTGTTTGGGCTGTTCTCGCTTACGACAAGGACACAGTCATTACGGGTAAGAATACATACCGGAAATGCTATGGGGTACACTGCGTACTTATGGGAATTTAGGGTGCGCTGATAAACTTATACGTGTGTTCAATACCTCCGGGAAGCTTCTGAACACTTTCAGGGGCTGCGGGGATGTTGTTCGAGCACTTTGCAAGTTCCCAGATGGACATGGATCCGGAGCCCAGATAGCATCTGCGGGAAATGATGGTATCATTCGACTTTGGACTATCCAAGGGAAGCAGGTTGGCCAATTGCATGGACACGAAAGCTTCATCTACTCCCTCGATTCTCTACCCTCCGGCGAGCTTGTGAGTTCTGGAGAAGACCGGACTGTAAGGATATGGGATGCTACTAGCTGCATTCAGACAATTACCCATCCGGCAATATCAGTATGGAGTGTTGCTGCATGTGCCGAATCTGGTGACATTATCTCGGGAGCCAGTGATAGGATAGCTCGGATTTTCAGCCGGGACAAGGGTCGACAAGCCGATGAGGCCACCACTCAGATTTTCGAGAATGCCGTGAAAGAGTCCTCCATTCCACAAGAGCAGGTCGGGAAGGTCAATAAGGAAAAACTTCCTGGCCCGGAATTCCTCAAACAGAGATCTGGAACAAAAGATGGCCAGGTACAGATGATTCGTGAAGATGATGGGAGCGTCACTGCTCATACATGGTCGTCTGCCTCTTCTCAATGGGTTCCTGTTGGCACAGTGGTGGACTCTGTCGGAAGCAGTGGTAGAAAAGTCGAATATATGGGCCAGGACTACGATTATGTATTCGATGTTGACATCGAAGATGGAAAGCCACCCCTAAAACTCCCATATAATCTGTCTCAAAACCCCTACGACGTGGCAAAGAAATTCATCGCAAACAACGAACTTCCGATATCATACCTGGAACAGGTTGCGAACTTTATCACAACCAATACTAAAGGGGCAGTAGTAGGCCCGTCCCAGACAGGCGAATCCACCTACCAACAACCGTCTATTCCGGATTCTCGACCAAAAGTGTTACCTCAAGCGTCCTATCTCTCTATAAAATCGGCGAATTTGAAAGCTATACAGAAAAAGATATCCGAGATTAACGCCCAGTTGGTATCTTCCGGCTCAAAGGATTTGTCCCTTGCTCCCTCGGAGATGGAAGCTATATCTGCTCTGTGCTCCCAACTTGAGCAGCCATCCTCACTGTCCAAGTCACCAGTTGTTGAAGCCACTCTCCCCTTACTCGTCAAAGTATCAACAGGCTGGCCAGCCGTAAACCGGCTTCCAGGTCTCGATCTTCTCCGGCTCCTAGCTGCTGCATCTCCCACAGCAGCAACCTGGGATCAAGGAGAAGGTAATTTAGTGTCGGTGATCATATCCAGCGGTGTGTTTGATGCTCCTCTCAGCCCCAATAACACCATGCTGGCCATCCGAATGCTAGCAAACTTTTTCGAAACAGGGCCGGGCCGTGCACTAGTCGCTGGCTGCTTCGAAGAAGTTACGAACAAAATTGGCTCTGTCATGTCCGACTCCGTTGCGGCTGGTAACCGCAATGTAACCATTGCTGCAGCAACATTATACATCAACCTTGCCGTTTACTTCACATCCAAAGAAAATGTTAACTCACCGGAAGCATCCGAGCACGGTCTTGTACTCATCGACCAGCTTTCTAAAGTTCTCCGTAACGAGAAGGATTCGGAGGCTGTCTATCGAGGACTGGTTGCACTTGGAACACTGGTTGTTGGCTTTGACCACGATATTCAGACGGCGGCAAAGGAGATTTACGACCTCGATCAGACACTGTCACGGGTTTTAGATGCCGGCTTCGGGCGGGAACCAAGAGTCAAAGGTGTCATAAGCGAAATTAGAGATGCAATTAATTAGATCTGACAGAAGCATGTGTACGGAAACATGAGCGTTACGTATAGAAACTTGAAATTAGTTACTAATTATATGCACTCCCTTGGCATTGTTGCGTTGCGCTATGATCTTGGACTGTTTGAAATGTGACACCAGTCAATCCAAACTTTTTAAGACACCTCCCGCGTTTTTCCACAAGGTACTTTGACAGGCCGACTAGTCACTCATGCACTGGAAATCAATTACCCAATGAATTACTTGTGTTATTATACACTGCAGCTAGCCATAGCCTTCACAACTTCCCGGATCCATCCACATCAACTTCCACTATCTGGTCAACACCTGGGTACTCAGGTAAATCCAGCCCATACTTCCCCGCAATATCAGGTGTCAAAAACCTTCCGCCGAGGAAATGCCTCCCCTTAAACCATTTCACGCACGGCTTAGCGGCTGTCAAACTGACGAGTATATCTGGCATAAACTTCGAACCGGGTCCATTTTTGGGCGGCCCAGTCTCGACGTCCCATGAGCTCGGCGCATCGACGCTAAGAACAGGAACCTTAGTCTCCTCAAGCTGGGAAATTATGGCTGGAAACGGGTCTCTGAGTGGTCCGCTGAATGAAAAGCCAAATATAGCGTCCACAACTAGATCGGAGGATTTCAGGGAATCAGTGAAGTCGGAAGTGAATGGCACGGAAAGATTCTTCAGTTGCGTTTTCAGGCGCTGGATAGACAGGTTTAGATATCTCTACCTTGGGTGTACTGTTGTGGGGTATATGTGGACGCACCTCATATAGCTCATTCTTGCCTTGCTTAGGGTAATACACGGTAGGTTTATACCCGTAATGTGCTAGATGGCGGGCAGCGACCAGCCCGTCCCCTCCTATACATTGCAAAAAGTTACCACTCGCCAAGCATCAAAACATACATATTCCATTGATGGGGACGCTAAGGCCTACCGTTATTTCCTGGGCCACAGGCTACCAGAACGTTGCAGCCATCTTTGGGCGGGTGGACACGGTAGACTAAAGATACCCGAGAATTGAGAGCAGTTAGTTAAGATCCCCAAGTGAAGGTGTATATATGTATGTTCCAACATAAAGTATGGGTATATACCGGCCTGTGAGACAGAGAGCCCGGCTAGTTCCATTAGCTGGTCGATGGAGAAGCCCCCCGTATCCATGAGATCTTTATCCAGAGATGATGCATCCTTAGGGTTGATAGTCTAGGGATATAATAGCCCTAAGTTAGCATGATTAACTAGGCATACGAAAATATTCTGTGATACAGTTATATTTGAAATAGGAGGGGAACATTCGTCGGACACTCAACCTTTAGTGTCATGCTGGATAGTCTTCTATACTTGCGGATAGATGTAAACAATGACTGCGGTATCAAGGCTCTCCGCATCCGAGCTTCACGAGTCCACAAAGATATATTGCTACGCCAATTTAACAACTATATATGGCAAAATATTAGCATAAATCACTTTCCATGAAATGTTCTGCGTCCTGCTTGAATTTAACAACATCTCAACTTGATATGAAGTATGACGTTGAAGATTACCAAATCAATCATCATGTGATTCTAACGCGGAGAATTAAATGTCCGTTTCCGGATAATTTTTGACGGCGACAGCGCACCTGCATCTAAAGACGAAGATCAAGACTCGATAGATTATACAGAGATACGAGCGCCAGTCGACGTTGGAGGAGAGATTTATATCACTTGATCCGGTTCAATTGGTTTAACCGTGATCTCTCTGTCCAAAATTTCACAATGGTCCTCCGAATTCGACTGTCCCGTTTCGGCAGAAAACATGACCCCTTCTACAACATAGTGGTCTCCCAAGCAAGGTGTGTCTCTGGTTAATTCTTCCTCAGGCTTCCTCAGTGCACGTCGAGTCGTGCCTATGAGCTTCGATGTAGTGATCACTCGTGCTAACTGACACTTTACAGAATTGCACGCGACTCAAAACCCATTGAAGTCCTCGGAACATATAACCCAGTACCACAAAAACCAGTTGGGCTCTCAGACAGTGAAGCAAAAACTGCACGACCATATAAGGATATTGCGCTTGATCAAATAAGGACGAAATACTGGCTTGGTGTAGGCGCTCAGCCTACCGATGGGGTATGGCGGCTACTAAGCATGGTACGTTTTGACCCCGGGACAATTCTTCAGCACTCTGCCTTGGAGGCCAGAACATTTTTATCTGGATGGTGAACGTGGTGAACGATTGAAATATCATCGGTGGATCGATTACGGTTACTGATGGTCATGGGTGCATAGATCGGTCTAGTTGAGCCGAAGCTAGGAAAAGCGCAAAAGGCCCAGGCCAACTCGAAGACGGCGGGAAAAGCGGCAAACACCAATTAATCTGACTTCCCCCCCTTTAAAATGAGCCGAACCGTCTCGAACACAGCATGTCCGTTGAGACAATTATTATAATCAACCGGGACAAGGCAGTCAGCAGAGAAAAACGCCGGTACATCACACCACCCACAAGTACCTGGACGCGTAGCTCTGGTTCCCTCACCATTCCTTTGGACCCTCGAATCCTTGTCTGCTGTATATTACATACCCACGTTTTTCCTTTTTTTTATCCCCTGCTTTTCCAAAGCACGTTAGTTCCTGATGAGGGCCACTGTCATCATATGTATCAAAGCATCTTTGCTGTGTTTTATAGTTGAGTTGGGATGGGGCGTCTATCTGGTTGGAAAGATCTCGATGAGTCGATAACTTATAGGTACTATTACTAGACGGAATGGATATCTGTTATTGTTTCCAGGTGGGGAGATATACCATTCGTTCCGTTCCAGACCATGGGCTTATTCTACTTACTCGGTATTAAATACCGTGACACCCGATGGATAAATGGATCAGCAGGTAAGCCCCTGGTAGGTATATATTTAGCCATGGTCTAACCAAGATGGCTTGCTTGACGAGGACGTCTCTATGACTTTGACTTTCTATATGTATACTCCGTATGATGTCCGCTTCTTTACAAGTCTTACGTGTTAGCCGTTATCATTGAAGTGAGGCCCAACGCCATACTGAATAGCGGTTTCATCGAGCTCAGGCAGCCAATTTGATAGACCAAGTACCCTGTAAAACAAGGGGTTGAGGATAGAGGAAGAAAAAGCAACTCTGGCTTCTTTTGTTGCCAGTTTGACTGCAGCTCGTATCTCCAGGGACGATACCCTGTTGGTGAGGCAGCTGTGGTGATAATGCACCTTTCCTAGCCTCTTTATCTTGTGAGGGCAGAGTATTCGCCTGGGGAAGCTGAATTGTACTCTTCTGTTGATAGGTATTTATGTAGCTTGCGGTAGAGGTACTGATGTGGATGTACCTGACTGAGATTGGTCAAATCGGTGGAGTGAGCAGCAAGGCCATGTACACAGACTCCTATAGATGAATATTATTATCTGTCACCACGAATACATTAAATGATATTAAATAATGGTTGATATTACAATTATGTTCAAACGTAATCATCTTCATCTACACACCTAACGGCTCTCGTATATCGGCATCGTTGTATGCAAGCCCCCGATATCATCACACATACCTCGTAACGCCATTCATTAAGCCTTAGCGGTACTTTGAGGTGATTCTTCCATTGTTGTGAGTTGTAACTTCGCAGTTGTTCGACTCGCAGTCCGCGTCATCACAGTAGACGAGTCCGTTGGTGGCCTTATTCAGATGGAAATGCTTGTGCAAGCAAACGCCAAACTGGCATCTAGTCCGCCCTTTGCAATCAGTAGACTTCGAGCATTCCTGACCAATCATTCCTTTCTTGCATCTCTTGCAAGTTCTCACTTTCTTCTCCAGAGTAGAGAGAAATTGCCTCTTGGTGTACCGGCAAAATTTTCCCCTCCGGACAATCCTTGTTGCTTCCGCAGATGTTATATTCCTCTGGCTCATGCCCCTGAAACAGATATTGGTTCCGCAGTAAGCGTGCACGCTGCACTGGCCGTCCGTCGACCTCATTTTGCAGATTTTTTCCGTTTGGTCGCAGTAGTCCGCAGCCCTGCAGGTCTTGAATGCGGAGCAGGCCTCTCCTCTCTGCACCTTGGTGACGCGGAATCTTTACACGCATGCTTCTGTAGGGCCACCCTCGCGCAGATCGACAACTGTGACTCTGCCGAAGGGGCCGGGCTTTCGTTCCTTTTCCGCAACTTGTGCCAGCAGCCAGGTCGAGGAGGGCAATGGAGGGTAAAGATATGGTGGAGAATTTCATGGCTGCGGATTGTAGGAAATTGATTGATGCAGGAGGTAGATAATCTGGCTGAGTAAAGCTAATGAAAAATTTCCAAGTAATCTCGAGGGAAAAGAAGCCGTTGAATTGAAAGCCAGGGGAATATGATGAGCCTCAGCCGTTTTATAACTTTTCTTCACTATCATAATGGGGATCTTTCAATCATGAGGTATCAAACATTGGGTGGTCATGGTCAACGAAAGCTTCTATATGGTCAAATGTCGCTCGATGGGGCAAACAGAGCCAGGTAGATGCTATCTCTAGACCTTTTGCTTATACATTGATATCTTGAGTCGTGCCCCGAGGTGAGTTGTAACTGGTGCCTCAAGCCACGGTCTAGTTGTCAACATTTTATTCAAGCGCCACAGATGAGAGAGCCAATGAATTTCACGAGGGCCAGGGAAAGTTCGTTGTAACTATCGAATGGGCGGTGGCGACTATCTCGCAAAATCAAAAGCTTTCCACGCATAATCCAAGTAATTCCCCACGATCAGAAAGAATCCTGGTGATTCATGCGCTGCACTGGCTGCTATATGGTCACATGTACGGAGTATTTAGTGGTATCATAGCCAGCATGGTCAATGTTGATGAACAGATGTCATCAAACAGCAATGAGCTGGTCCCAAAAAAGTTCACTAAACTGGCCCCATCGTGTGCCCAGGGTTCCCCATATTCTGGTCTAAGAACCCTAGGAGAAAGCCACGATGGATACGACGCTGAGATTCCCGAGAAGCACCATTGATGCCTCGGGGATGGAGGCTCTGACCATCTTCGATGACCTCGGGGGCCAGCAGTGGATAGGGTATATGTCGAGATACGATCATCTCTCGGCAGCGTAGTCTCGATGCATTTCCTTTTCTCAAGAGACGAGTGTCATACTTGATCATGGCACCAGACCGACTTTCACAGCCAGCCACCTAAGCATTATCCATCACTCCCGATCAACATCTTTATCGTGGAGAGGGTAGGAGTCCCGAGATCACCACAAATTTTCGTGAGGCGAGAACAACATCCAAGGTCAGCCAACCTCGGAGCTTCCATGACATCGGAACAGGGCCATCCTGGTGCTGCCTGTCGAGCCCACCCTCCCTTGAGGGACCAACCGACTATCAAATAATATATTATTCTGCGAGGCCAAAAAGGAAGAGGGGTGGCATTTTCGTGTTCAGCTTCACCAGATCCAATCGAACAGGTAAACCTTGAGATCGCGACCAGGATACGTCACAGGGATAAACCGGGTCGGCCGATGCAGAAAAGGAAAAGCAAGCAGGGAAAAAAAAAAAAAAAAAAAAAAAAATTCTACTTTTGAGTCTCAACTCTGGTCGTTGGTTCTCCGTGGGCGTTTTGGACGAGCTGGGACTCTTGTTTGGCTCCAGGAAGTTGGTTGGAGCAGGCATCTTGTAACCCCCTGAACCGTTGGACGGGCGTTTTGAGTAGCCGAGCCACCGCAGCCGTAAGATCGGTGTATGAACGGGCGTATTTGAGCCAAAAGTTACCAGCTAATGCAGTCCGTATACTCCATAAGAGGACTCAAAAATGGTCAAACTCACACCAGGCAGCGTTGTCGAACTGTTTGAGGCTGGATAACTACGTACCTCGCGATGCAGGCCAAAGTAAGTAAATGGCAGGCCTCCCTCACGTGTGAGCTGTCCCACGTAAGTTACTCCGTACAGAGAGCGACGGCCTTGCATGAACTGCGACATGGATGCAGCAGCCAGGGAGAAGACGCCTGGAGAGACAGCAAGGCCGCTGCAGGGACCTGTCGGGTGCAGCCCTGCATGCAGCGTTAGAGAGCAATGGCGTAGGACAGATGATATCTCGCCTGCCCAGAACGGCAGCCCGGATGAAGTCGATATCAGCCCGAATCTCGACCCCATCAAACAAACAAAAAGATACACGTAAAAAGAAATATTAAGAGGCAAATAAAAGCAAGCAGAGAGACGAACAATCTCAAAAAAAAAAAAATTATCTTGAATGACCGACGCAGGACTCGAACCTGCAAATCTCCTGATTCGTAGTCAGGCGCCTTAACCAATTGGGCCAGTCGGCCTGTTTGATGTGTTGAAAAGACAGGCCAGTTCTTCTACTAAACTAGACTGCAGATTTGGTAATATGCCTTTTAACGGTCGCTTCACTGGCATGCGAAGGGATGAAGAAGTGGGAGTCGAAGCTGGAGACAGAGAAAGAAGTTGAGGACTTGACGGTGCTCTCTACTCTCTGGTTACTCTCATCCAGCTGACGGCCAAAGACAAAGACCCGTTATATGGATGGGCCTGTTAGGGATTCCTGGCTCTATGGAGTGCAGTGGCAGAGAACTCCTGCAGTTTGGACGCCCTACAGATACCCGAGTACATGCTAGATGCATCCACCCAACAGCTTATAAGGAGATTTCCACTCTATCTATGCCTAGATACATAAGTATTTGGTATTCAACACTTGTCAATAAGAAATCCTTCGTGAAGAGGCACTATCTTTTTCATTTGCCATGAGACATCTCATCTATGCTTCCAGTGGACCATTAAGCCTTTGGAAGCTTACCACCTTTCCTCCTATGGTATTGATTCAACCATCCATACGTTAGAGAAATCTCTGTCGTAATATTGTTATAAGACAGCACCTCGGGTCATGGCAATCCCACGAATGTTACCAGCCATCTCTCCCTACACTGCCATGCTCGGTCTTCGTCCTGGCCAGCTATCAACTTACACCAATGACGTTTCTCAGCCTCATCTCCATGTCTTAGAGTTATGTCAACAACGGTTGAATGATGATCACGCAGTTGTATGCAGGTAACTACAGGGTTTTCTAACGATCCCAATTGTATCAAGATATTTACTCACCCCAAATAACCCTGCAAATGACTTCAGCCTAGCCGTCGAACGGGGTTACACATGACGATGAAGATCCTCCATGAGTTGTAGAAGGCAAAGAATGGCGAGTATCTATGAGGAATATCGTATAGACCGGCCTAACCCTAGGAGAGAAACGGGTCTGAATCCTGCGCGGGTTCAAGGTGACTCCGGAGCTTCGGACTCCACAAGCAAACAGGCCGACTGGCCCAATTGGTTAAGGCGCCTGACTACGAATCAGGAGATTTGCAGGTTCGAGTCCTGCGTCGGTCATCAGAATTTTTTTGGGCCCCTTTTTTTTTTTATTCGGTAGGTTCGTCACCATAGATGAGATGCGACGCCGGGTCTGGATGAGAGCAAGGAATGTTCCTTTCATTTAGCGAAGGGTGTGGTGATGGTGACACCTGATATACTCCGGACTAGTGAGCGAGCGTCTGGAGAAAGAGACGGAGCAAGGGGGGCCAGGAGGAGGAGCAGGAGTAGGAGGAAGGTTGATAGCTTCCTCCATGGACATGGTAACGGAGCACGCTACGACATCTTTAAAACCCCCGGGAAAAGCCCACTGGACAGAAGAAACGCATGGAGCATGTATGTAAGCTGAGCTGGCTCCCTCCACGGCCTTGCCTTGTCTGGAGCTTCAGCATGCCCTCGCTTCTCCAACGTGGCCCATCCATGGTGCGGATAAACGGTCCCCCCCCTCGCAGCTGGCTTGCTGGTTAGGGCCTGCAACTCGGCGTCGACAGGTGCTACCCCTGTGCAAGGTCAAGGACCAGTCCAAGCCCAAAGCCAGTCGGTCTCCCCCCTCTCCCCCCAAAGCCAGGGAAAAAGAACGAGCCGGCGCGTCGGTTGATTGGCCGCGCCAGAAGGCACGAAGAGGGAGGGCAGGATGGTGGAGATGCCAATCAACGGGCCTGAAGGCTGGTGTGTGCTTGATGGCGCAGTGCTAGGGGGTGTGCGAATGTGGTGTCGACCAGGCAAGCAGCCTGAGGAGCGGTCGATTGGCCGGGGGTGGGAGAAAGGGAGGACCTGGTTGATGCCGGTGGGCCAGACATCGGCCCTTGGAGCTAGTATCGTATCTCTCTGTATCTGCTGTATCCGTCCCTTTGACGCTGTACCTCTCCCGTCTGGCATCTGCCCTTTTTTTTTTTTTTTTTTTTTTCCCCTTCCTCTTCGTGGTTGCTCCGTAAAATGTTGGTAGATGGGCAAGGGACATCTAGGTAGGGTTGTGTATCCGTAGGCCCAGGGGAGTTTGATATTGGCCGATATCAGCCACTTTGCGACCGTTTCGTCTCCTTCTTTTTGCCTGGCCGTGTCTCTCGAGGGCCTCCTTGCGCTGTATCCTCTGTATGAGCGTGTCCAGATAGGTTCATGGTTGCTTTTTCCTGTCCCCGTATCGTTTTGGCCCACTGCCTGCATCCGCCCTCTGACTGGCCTCTCCTGGCCTGGCTCAGCTCGCTCCAGACCATGAGGCAGCGTTGATGTGCTTCTTCCTCTCTCTCTCTCTCTCTCTGTGGCTGTCTCTTCTTCTGGCCCTTACTTTTTTTTTTTTTCTTTTGGTCTCTTTCTCTCCCTTGTCGTCGCTGTTTCTTCCCGGTCCTTCTGGTCCTCCTTTCTGGCCGCCTCTGCTCGTCTCTGCCATCCACCTTTTGGCCTCCCTTGATCCTCCCGCGTCGTAGCAGAGACGAAAGACCTTGTTCGTCGTCGTCCTCGTCCCTCGAGCCCCCTTCTCGGCCCTCGTCCTCGATAGCATCAACCTGTCTTCTTCTCCTGCCTGGCAACGTCGAGACTCCTGGCTGCCGTCGTGGTCCGTATACTCCGGCTCTCACCACCACGCCCAATATATACCATAACCACCCAGCAGCAGCACCTTTGCCCTCTCCCTCGTCTTATCTTTTATCTTTTATCTTCGTATTCTCGTCCCGTCGTCTGTCTGTCTGACTGCTGCAGTTCTATCATGGTTACGCCGCGCGTTAGTTAAGAAGAATCTCAACGGCTTCAGGCAACAACTTCTTCTGCTCAAATCTTCAGCTTCGACGTCCGGCTCTCCAGCACCTCAGACTGCTTGCTCTCTCGCCCTTCTTTCGTCGCCAGCGAGCTTCTGCGACCCCCTTCCCCCCCCCTCGCCTGCGCCGTCCGCTCTGCTTCTCTCTGTTTTTCTGTCTTTGCGCGCGCGTCGCTTTTGTTGCCTGTCTCTTGTCGGCTCTTGCGCTCGCAGCCGCCGCTTCTCGTCTATTCCCAGCGCCGGCGACCGTCATCTCGCTCGTCTTCCGGTCTGGCTCGGCCCAGCAGGAAGGGAAAGA